TTTTTTTTTTTTTTTTGATCGAATCTTTTTTACGTTAATAGTTTTTCCGGGCGGATGACCGTGGCTCGATACTTTATTAGATCAGTTTCCTTAATTGTACGTTTTTCCTTTTTTTTTTTTTTTTTTTTTTTTTGACTAACAAAGCCGGTCATATGCCGGAATATTAAATAAATATAACTCTACCAACAAGTACGACAGAGAACCCGACACGACAAACACGCCCGGTATCGAACGAAGTTATTAAATCAATTGACTTCGTTATGAATTCAACGGTCAGCGGTGGTAAACTTGATCGATCAATCAGCCATTATCGTTGATAAAGCGTCGGAAGAGTAAATAATGCCTTTGTCCCGAAAGATAATTATTATATGCTACATTTAACGCGTCTAATCGCCGGCGTCGTTGGTCATTCGTTGACAAAACAATTCTCTAATTGAGACACTGTCTGTCGCGTCGTCTCGCATACAGAGATTATCGGAAATGGCAAGTGCTTCTTAAAAGATTAATTGGACAGAAAATCCCGTGGGATTTATTGGACATTAGGTACGGCCCAGTGGTGGACGGGCGCATGCAAATCCATAAACCAGCATATCCGATTCCTTTAGATACGCGTATCAATACACGGTTTGAAACATAAACGCGTATTATGGAACAGGTGCCGGTGTAAACACACGGACGGAGCCTTGTATTTGCAGATCAATTCGGAGACCAATGAATATCTGATGGTGTACCATTCTATCGACCAGGGCGAACCGGTTAGAATCCTACCAAAGTCAACCAGCCGCGAAGGTAAAATCGAGCACACGTCCTCCTCCGATCTGTTTTCTATCTTCAATCGGTCAATTTTTTAAGTTTCACTTCTCGATCGTTCCGGTTTCTAATTTATTCGAAATCGGACGGCACGATTTTCTTCTTCTTCTTCTTCTCCTCCTTTTTCTTTGTTTGCGAACGAAACGCAGTCGTCACGTCGGTTCTGAAATACGTCCCCGTCGAACGGTAGTCCGTCCATTTTCCTGTTTCATTTTCGTTTCTTTGCGAACAGCTGCCGCCAAGACCTGTCGTCATGACCGTAGTCCAATTTCAAAGCGCGAGGCTTTGAATACGAAATTCTCGCTCGCGAGAAGAAATCAATAGACCGAAGTTGAAACCAGAGTCGGCCGCAATCTGCACCTACGATACCAATTCACAATCAAGCTACGCTGAATCCAGCCCGAATCAATGGCTAACCACATGTAACTTTATATCATAGCCAACTTAATCAACGTCCAGCACATCTGCAACCTACGTCTATTCTGCCTTTAATCTGAAACTCAGCCTCGGACCGCATTCGACCGCATCGGACTCTATTTCGAGGCAGGCCGCTATTCGATTCGAGGGCTCGCGCGGCTGCGAGACTTTTTGTTCGCGTCCCCTATGATTCGTTTAAATATAAACGAACTTGTTTCCGATCCAATTGCCGTGGAATGTCCGAAACTCTCATTGAATATTCGTTTAACCAAGTTTAACGGATCGCTCTCCTCTCGCGTCTTTGCCAAGACTGACAAAATCGAAAACGAAGAGACATATCGAAAGCGATTAAAAAGTTACGTTAGGAACTCCTTCGGATAAGGTTCTTGCTTTTATTTCTATTTCACTGGAACGAAATCTCGGTCATTACAGAAATCTCCGAAGTGAATCGGAGAATCGAATTGCGTGCTATTCGTTTCTATTTGCAACGT